AAAGAAGTATGAATGTATTGAGAGGGTCCATTATAAATACTGTAAAAGATTTCTGGGAGTTAAAGGGGGTACCCCAAATTTAGCTTTCTTAGGTGAACTAGGACGTTACCCAGTTGTTACTGCTACATATATTAAATGTATCAAATGGTGGTTAAAATTATTATGTATAGAAGAAAATAAGATTGCTAAGCAATCATATCTTCTTTTAGTACGGGAAGACGAACGTGGTAAAATTAACTGGGTAACGCATATTCAAGATATTTTGAGTAGCTATTGATTTGGGATAGTGTGGATCAATCAAGGGGTGGGAAATGAAATTGCATTCCTCGCAAATTTTGCTCCAAGAATTAAGGACATGTGGCAACAGGAATGGTGGGAAGAATGCTCAACTATGAGCCGCCTAAATTTGATCTGCCAGGTAAAACAAGACTATACTGTAGAAAGATATATTATCAGTGTAAGTGTGAACAAACATAGGAAATCGTTATCAAGGCTACGTTGCTCGAGTCACCAATTAGCATTAGAATCTGGCCGTATGCATAATGTAGATGGTTTTGAAAGGAAATATGTATTATGCCATAGCGGACTAATTGAAGATGAATTACAACTAATTTTTGAATGTCCCATATAATAGGCCCACAGAGACGAGCTATTACCATGTTTGTCATCACATGACTAGGGAACCACACCTTCATAACATTAATGACAAGTGAGTTACCCATTACACTTTGTAATTTGTCAAAATTTCTGTATCAAGCTTTTAAGTTAAGGTCAGAAGCAGTACAACTAATAACCTCTTGATGGGCAGTATTTTTATATTACAGTTAATTTTTAGTCCTCATTCGGACGAAGTCCGAAAACGGGGACTTATGTTTTGACCTCCGTGCGTGCGTCTGTGAGTGCGTCCGGAACTGTATCTTATAAATGCCTGGACCAATCACAATCAAACTTCACAAATACATCATACATGATATTATACATATGCACGTCAATTTGTTTCACGATCTGATTCAAGATGGCCGAATGACGGCCATTTTTGTGCTAAAAATCATCAAAATCAAGCATTTCTCGGCTGTTTACAGATGCATTTTGTTCAAACTTGGTATATACATTAGACATTATGGAAACTTGATGCAAATAATTTTGTTTTATGATCTGATTCAAGATGGCCGAATGGCGGCCATTTTGTGCTAAAAAATCCTAAAAATCAAGCATTTCTCGGCTGTTTACAGATGGATTTTGTTCAAACTTGGTATATACATTAGACATTATGGGACCTTGATGCAAATAATTGTGTTTTTCAGATAAGATTTAAAATAGCTGACTGACGGCCATTTTGTTTTAATGAATGTGGTTCTCGTGCCATATCTTGCTTTCACTGATTATGTTCAAATTTTAAATATTCATTATACATCATGTCATAGATAGACATATATTGGTGGCCATTTTTGTGCTAAAAAATCATCAAATATCAAGCATTTATGGATGGATTTCGTTCAAACTTGGTACATATATTAGACATTACAGGTTCCTGATGCACATCATTAATTTTGCAGATCGGATTCAAAATGGCTGTCTGGCGGCCAATTTGTTTTAATGAATGGGCTTCTAGACCCATATCTTCGACTTATTTTGACTGATTATATTCAAATTTTAAATATTCATTATACGTCATGTCATAGACAGACATATATATTAGTTTGACGATCCTATTCAAAATGGCCGAATGGTGGTCATTTTTGTGCTAACAAATCATCAAATATCAAGCATTTCTGGCATTTATGGATGGATTTCATTCAAACTTGGTACATACATTAGACATTACAGGTTCCTGATGCACGTCATTTTATTTTTCAGATTGGATTCAAAATGGTTGACTGGCAGCCATTTTGTTTTAATGTATTAAAAATGGCTGATTTTGAATGCTGTTCCAGAGCAATATCTCTCAATATGGACAAGTACTTTTTTGACGATCAGATACAAATGTCAATCATTTTAATGTTAAACAATCATATTCCTGACATGGTCATATTCCAGCTATATCACTATAAACAAAGCTATATATCTTAAATTTGATAACTGACGGGGACTGTGCCATGCATGGCTTGTTTTTTTGTATTATTATTCTTTTCAAAAATGTATACCGGTACTTGAGATTGTGATGGGCCGGTGGCCTAGTATGGCAATAAAGTTGACTACTAAATAAAGCTTTGTGTAAGTCAATCAGACGGCTAAAAACTACGAGTCACAAACAAAAATGTATGCTACCAATAACAACCATGTCCCGTAGCGGCATTCAAATTCTAGGTGACAAAGTTGCAGTGAAATTGCACATGGGTTATTGCAATCTGTTTCAAAGAACAGGCGACAACGCAGAATTCGACGACGATATATGGTATTGTAATCTCCACTATGGGTAAATAAATTACAGACTATGATGAAGGTAATTTCGAAAGCTGCAGATTTGTGCCGAGTACACTGATTAGAGCGATGGCCTGCACAGTCTTTCTTCTGACTGGAGTTGAGACAAGCCATACCATGTACGTGTCACAAAAACGATGCGAAAACTCGATCTTACCATCAAACTTACCCCAGAACAATGACTTGTCAGGTTAACTGTCACAAAACTTTGGTTGTACCAAAGATGTATCCAGGTCAGATAAATGTTGGGACTTAGTCGCTGTGCTGGTCGCCATACATGTTACACCACCCGACTGCGTACCGCCGGTCTCAAACTTCGGTCAAGCCAAGTACTGCTGAATGTCAAATATCCACAGTTATAAGTAGTATGATGAGTCACAAAACTAGTTTATTTCACTACTGTACTTTCGATGGGCGAATTACAGTCCAAATTATACAAAAAACAGAATGAAAACGTTGAAAATCTGTTGTTTTAATGATCCAAACTGTACACGATCCTGTATTTGAAATGGCGTTGATGCAGTCATTAAAAAGTCAGAAAGGTGATCTTTTGTTATGCTAATTTTTGTGTTTACGCTGCTCAATTCACTGTGAATACGTTTTCGTTTTCACATGGAATAAAAGAATAGTTTTGAATTTGAACTGTGTTGCTTATGTAATTTTTGTATACATTCAGTGTACAACTACATACTATTCTTATAAATACTAGTATTAGTAGTTCAAGGGCCATGATCATTATCTTATGGTAGATGCTAGTTTTATCGAATTGGCAATATACTGGTATAATATAATAGCCAATAACCCCCCTCCATATATGCACTTGCCTGCTGCTCATGCGTATCTGTCCTGAATTGTGCAATATCTCGTGGTATAACCGCCTTTGGCAGAAGTGTTATTGCTTAATTATACCATATAATAGGATAATTGTGTGTGGTAAACTATCTAATGTTTTCACTCATTCATGAATAATATACTATTTATCTAGTGAACAATATAACTGATTTTCATTTAATATTTACTAAGGACCTAGTTGAGAAACGGAAAACGGAACTAGAAGCCTTCTTGAGGTGCATGGAAGCTGCCATACACA